AATTTGTATATGTATGGATCTTTCCTCAGCTGAAGCAGGTTTAATGTCGGGAAGTCCCGGTATAGAATCAGTTCCAGGTCCTGAATTACCAAAACTCGAATTCCTTGAACGTTTTAATGGTACCAATCTTTCAAATTCTTGTATTCTTGAATAAGAAGAAAAGTGTTTTAGTCTGTTTCAAGAAAAAGAAGCTTCTTAATTGCAGAAAGAAACCAGAAGTTCTATGCAGAAAACGATTCAAGATTCAAACAATCTCCACTTCTCAAGAAACTACTTGAGAACTCCAAACTCAACAAAGAAAAGTAAGTAAAAAATTCACTACAAGAAAAGCTCAAAACTTTGGAATATGTAACATTGGTTTTTGTGTTGTGTTTAGGAATGAGAGATCGATTCAAGACAAATATTGTCTAAGAGGAGCAGAATGGGGAGTAGGAGATTGTTCAACCACAGGAATGACTGATGAAGAGAAAGATAAATTCATCACAATGTTGAAAGAGAAGACTGGTGTTAAGTAAAACAAAAACTTCACACAATGTTGTATTTTTGAATGAATGCTTTTTAGAGAAATCTATGCTAAAATGTTAATTTATCAAACCCAAATCACCCAAACAAGACATACACAAAAAAACCGTGTTAAACATCGTCGTTTTATGAATCCGCGACTTTGAGATCCATAAGTGAAAGCGAAGCAATCTCATTCACAACCAATATTTTGTCAGCTTCGAAACCTTCGTCTTCTTTCTCGGGTTTCAAATCAGCAAACAACCGAAGAATCTTGTTCCGATTCGCCACAAGAATCGCTACAATGTCCTCTGGTTTCCTCTCGTTCGCCACAAACAGTTTGAAAACATGAAACGCTTCTAGCTGAATGTTCTTGGTTGGTTCTCTTAGTAGATTCATCATGATTCTCAAATTATCCAAACTACTCGCATACTTGATCATCACACCCGAATTAGACCGATCCATCAACACATCTCCCAACAGTTTCGACGCTTGTCTCTTTGTGAAATAACTTCCTTTCTCCAACAACCTCGTGTTATACTCGGCGAAAAACCATTCGTAGTTCTTCGAAAGATACTCAGCAACGGTCGATTTATGCCTCGTCAAAAGCTCCCTAAAGATCCTGCTTGCATCAGTAGCAACATCGAAATAAGGAAGCTGCACGAAATCGAAAAACTTCTCCAAATTCTCCGATTCGAGTATGTATTTAGCAACAACCTGATGACGAACACATTCTTTAAGCATTCCAGTATAATGCAAAGCCAATTCATGGTCTTTATCGATTCCTTCAACTAATGAATCGATAACGTCCAAATTCGATTCGAGATATTCAGAAGCAACGAGTCGAGATTCGACTTGTTGCTTCTGAAGATTTGCAACGATCTGTGTAGCGTCTTTTCGAGCTTCGAGATCGAGTTTAGGTAAAGATTTAATCAATGGACGAAGAGTATCTTCTCTGAAAAACTCTTGAGTTAACAAAAGACAAGATTCAGCTACAGGCTCAGCTTCACTGTTACCATATAGAATCGATTTCAAATCCCTAATGTTTCTACATAATTCGCCACGAATCCCTAATCGTTTCGAGTTTTTCGAATCGGTGATTTCTGAATAATCGGATTCTGATAAAGCGATTAGATCTCGAGTTTGACGAACGATTTCGCTAGGAGTACGAGTCTTATGCTTGAAGAGACCTTTCATTCTCGTGCT